GATGAGCCCGCCTCACTGCAGGGTTCTCATGCGAGAAATGGATATTTACGGTTTGGGCATATCACTGGAACTCACCAAGTGAGAGGTTGCCCTGAGCCTTTGTTATCTGTGATAAACATCTTGGGTGGTGAAGACAATGAAACTACCGTTGGTTGATAGCTCCACCCATCCTCAGCATGGCGGGCACACACCACACGCGCCCATACATCCTTACAATAACTTAGGACAATTTTATCGCTCCAATCTAAGATTGTTTCTGTGGTATGCGTAGAAATGTCAAACTGTCCGACATGTGCAGCTAATGGGAAAAGCTTTTTTTTATGGAATGACGCACCAGAAACACCATGTTTGACCGGAATGATCTCGAGTGGTAAACTTGACATCAAATAATTAAAATAACATCAGAATCAGATATTTGGACCCCCCCCCAAAAAAAAACCCGTTGTATTGTTTTAACTGCGAGTACCTCCAACCTGGGTGGCGGCCATTTTTTCCCCCAAAAATGGTGGCTCCTAGAGCATCTGCCTTGCCTCGAATCATTAAAATGACATCGTATTTAGATTCTGTGACCCCGAAAACCCATTAAAGGTGGTATTATTTAAGATTTTAGCTCGTTATTTTCTTAACTGTGATATATGTGGCGGCCATTTTGGATTTTGCCAATATGGCGGTCCCTTGGGGCATCTGTCTTACCTCAAATCGTTAAAATAACATCAGATTCAGATTGCTCGACCCCGAAAATACCTGAAAATGAGTGGTATTATTTATGATTCTAGCTAATTTAGTTCAATTGACCTCTGACCCGATTGGCGGCCATATTGGATTTTGCCAATATGGCGGCCCCACGGGGCGCCCGTCTTGGCGCCCGTCAAAAATCGAAATAGTATGGTATGGACGACATCTGTGCCAAATTTGGTGCTTTTGGAAGAATGTGAACCAAAATATCCCTAAGACCCCCGACTATTAGGTGCATTGTGATTGTTAATGATCTACATGTACTCTCTAAATTCCAAAGAGTGGAAATTCACTCCATTGGGGTGAAGATTCACTCCCACAGTCGGAAACTAGGGACTAGAGGTTTTAGAGTGAAATATCTTCAATCGTAATAAAGATTGAGTTTTCACTCGAGCTTCATCTGAAGTGGTTCTTTTTTCAGACTATTTCAATCAAACGTGACAGTGATTTCCACTCTAAAACGTCTTGTCCCTAATTTCACTCTTTGTAATTTATAGAGTATAATAATCAAGAAGAATAGGTTATTCATACACAATCAAAACTTACTTGTTTTTCTTCACGTTTCAAGGAACATTGTTGGCATTCATCAGACGATGCCGTGCGATTTTCTTGTTTAGGTTTTCAATTTGTCTTTGTTCCTTCACGTGGCTCTGGCCGTAATCCTTTTGTAAATCCTTAATTAGGTTCATGTGATTGTGAAGATGTATAATTAAAGAAGGTTGGGGGGGGGGTTTGCAATTTTTTTTTTTTTTGCAAGTTCCAAATGTCGGGCTGCAGTAATTATCGTTATTCAGTGTTGTGTGCCAAGGCTTTAATATTCTCATGAAAAATGTTGAATCGTTGAATTGATTGAGCTTTAGTTGCGATTCTGTGTTTATAATAAAACGAGATCTCTCGGTCCCCCTTGATTTCAACCGAATGAACCCAAACCCGTTGTTACAATCATCCTTGGAACATCTTTGTACATTCGCAATGCATTATGGGTATGGATAACATAGAAACCAACGTGTATACCCAAACCTATGGAACGGCAAAGCAGTCAAATTTGTATTTGTTTCTTGATATATTTCTATAATAAATAGAGTATCATTTCGCTTATTAATGGACCGACCAGTCACTGGTGAGCAATATTGGTTTTCTGATTCCTCAGTTTGCTCGTATAAGAAGGGATCACAGCAAAACTTGTTTATTTTTCAGAAATCAAATCACCAAGATGCAACAATCTCACCAGACACAGGTTTATGTAGAAATGGCGTTGTTTTGTTTGTCATCCATAACCAGAAAATTGGAAAGGTTTATTTCTTGATGGAAACGCTGCGTGACCTCAACAAAACTGTCACTGACCAGGAATGGCGTGAGCATATATAGCAACCAGCAGTAAAAGCCAGCGGCTTGAAGTTGTGCACAACAATGAGAACGCGCGTAAATTTAGCTCGTACCGCCGCCGCGCCCATATGGATGCGAGCAAAGGATGCAGTGCGAAAACATGTTGTAGGTATTACGATTATTACCAATAGGAATACCCCTTTCCGTAAACGCATTTGTGTTCGTTGTGTCGTTACGTTGTGCCGTTAATACGTTGTGGCGTTACGTGTAATTAACCTGTACGCCCGAAATATATAAATGTACATTTGTGTAATGTAAAACAAAACACATCTTAGAGGATTACCCAGAAGTGCTGTGGGGTGCTATATACGTGTAGTTCACGTGGAATAAAGCTCCATGCTCACAGACGGTTGCTTCGAGTTATACACATGAAATTAGAATGTTGGTGTCCATTTCCCGAGCTACTGTAGCCTGTGTGCAAAATACATGTATGAAAAGCTAAAGTTGCCCTTGCCGTGCTTTTTTTCAAGTTTCATCCGGGTTGAAAAAAAAAATTAATTTCTGTTTTGCTAGCAAAGCAAATGGTGTTCACTTTTGAAACAAATTTCAGAGTAATTGCAGGCGATCTTTTTGTGCCCCAAAGCAATAAAAACAAAATACTAGAAAATGTGTTTTGTGGACAAATACAAGCTTGTGTCGACTGTTTGAAACGACTATATGTTACATGTGATGACGACATGACCTCAGTTCAAATTTCATCGATAACACATGTGATAGACATGACATGTGATTGAGACATGATGATGTCACTTCAAATTTCATCGCTAACACATGTGACGTACATGACATGTGATGATAACATGCATAACGTCACTTCAAATTTCATGGATAACACATGTGACGTACATGGTGCGATGACGTCACCATGACGTCACTTAAGTTCATCTATAACCCATCCCGGTCTCCATACCTACCAAGTTACAACCAATATGGACGTATACAGCTCTGTACATAAAGGTAGAGATTTTGAAAAAGGCCCCTTTAATGTGACGTCATATGACTTGTGATGACGTCATCATGACGTCACTTAAATGTCCATGTGTAACACATCCCGGTCTAAGTGCCTACCAAAAAAGTTATAACCGAATCCGACCTATAGTTCTAAAGGCCTTCAGCACCTTTAATGTGATGTTACTTGACACCTGATGACGTCATCGTGACGAAAATCTTCGAGGACCATCTGCGGGTGCTGAAGTTGATCAGATTTCGTTGATCAGAACTTTTTAAAGCCTATGGAGAAAATAACGCGTATAAAGCCTTTGGAGAAAAGAACGTGTACAAATCCTATGGAGAAAAGAATGTGTGCAAAGCCTATGGAGAAAAGAAAGTGTACAAATCCTATGGAGAAAATGTGCACCTCAATGACCGCCACAAAAAAAATGTGACGTAACTTGACACCGGATTTTTTATTATTTATTTATTTATTTATTTCGTGTTATTTTTTAACCAGGGTAGCCCCATCAGTTATCAATGAACTGTTCTACCTGGAGGCCCTGATGACGTGTATACCAAGTCTAAAGTTCATTGGTCTTACGAAAGTGCCAAAGTGTATGGGTAGAAGAAAAAAGTGTATAAACCCTAAAGAGGAAAAACTGGAGGAGAAAAAAGAGCTGTTTCTGCAAGAAACAGTTTCCCGAGAGGATTGCAGACGTACGTCCAAACTAGAACGTATTTAATACATACATAGGTCCTATTGAAAATGTGTTGGAAATAAACAAGTTCAAATTAACTGATGAGCGGGGATATCAACTGTAAACAACATAATAATGCTGGCCCACTTCTTCAGGTGTTCACAGGCACTATTACTTTACCTCATACATATTCATGATCCAGAGCCGAACTCTCACTGGTCAATTCATCATCACGTGCCAGATGTTATTCTTGCTGTTTACCAAACGCGCGCTTGAGGATTCACGCACAGGGTAAATACGCATGCGTAGTAGACTGTCGCATGGGTTACCCGTGCGACAGTCTACTACGCATGCGCTTTACAAGGCAATCGACGAACTGTCTCACGGGGGTGGTACGCACGCGCATCGCCCTAGAGAGGCCAAGTTCGGGCAAGGACCATTAGTTGACTAGGGGTTGATTTGTGACGTACCTTACGCCTGCGCACTGATAGCAACGTGCGAACGCCTCTAGTCAAATGCTGGTCAAAATGTTATCGCAAAACTTCTGGATCCTGGTTCCCTGCTAGCGTTATGAATGCGCGCGGCTATTGGTTACCAGCGATGCAACCTGCCCCAGTAGGTTGGTTCCAAATAGTCGACTAGCGTAGTCAACCAACGTCGACTAGTTCGGGCAAACGTTAGTCGAACTATGGTTAACCATTGGTCAACTAGGCTTGCGCGAACTTGGCCAGATCGAGATGCATGGTTAATTGCACGGTTCGCGTAAATGTTAATTTTCCCGAGCTCCATGATGCATGCCGTGCTGGAGAAAATTTATGGACAATAAAGATGTCTCCTGTACAAAAGAAAGTTGTACACAAACAACTGTATTTACAACTGTAGTTACTGTATTGCCAATGAACCGAACTAGTGAAGTTGAGCAACAATATTATTTTGGTGAGCTGTACAAGTTTCTCCGAAAATTTTCTTTTAGGTGAATACATATATATAAAAAATCGGCAACTGATTATGTAAGACAGTATGAGGCATAGTACAAATATAACATGGTTTATTTCGGGTGGACAGTCGATATTAGCTCCCCTCGGTATTGGAAGTTGAAAAGCTACGTTATATTTGTATACTGACGGTGCTATTACGAAGCCATAGAGAATTAAGGTTTTGCGAATAGCCACAAGTATGATGGCACATGGCATATGCACGTGATTCTCACGAAGATGACACGTGCCACCGTACTGGTTTGTTGGTGACGACAGCGTAGTCGGTCAGTATAAAACTACATGTATTAGAAGGACAAAGTGGTCGATCCGTCGCGTCGTGCCTGTTGCACCGTCTCCAAACTTCGTATACAACCAGAATGGAAAATCAGCTCATAATCGCCCCCACTTTACCCTTGGTTGCTGACAACGGTTCATCATTACGGGAAAACGTTTTGAGCAGATCCGGCTACACTGGCTTCGCCGTGTACCTTGCAGTGGTCATTTTCTTCAGCGTGTCCGGGAATGTCACAGTAATTCTCCTGTACGCTAGCAACAGATCGCTGCACAACGTGGTCAACATCCTGCTCCTGAACGTCTCCGTTGCTGATTTGTCCGTAGCCGTGCTGGGAACACCCGTCTCCTTCGCTGCCAGTGCGGCCGGTCATTGGTTACTCGGTCCCATCGGCTGTACCTGGTATGGATTCATCTGTACCTTATCGGGTAAGTCTGCGGTACCAAAAGGATGGCAATTAAGTACAGAAAAGCCGCAAAAGCAAAGTCGCGACAACATCAGAGATTACGTATTTCCTGCACCCGATTTCACGAAGCGACGCGTCGCAACTCGAGTTACGACGTGTAACACGTCGCAACTCGCGACGCGTCGTATCATCCATTTCACGAAAGTTGCGACGTGTTGAACGCGTTGTAAGTTCCTTGACAATGGCTTAAAACACGTTGGAAGTTACGACGTGTCTAGTGGTCATCGCAAAATAAGAAGAGTCCCTTTCTAAGCCAATTTATTGCCATAAACATTACAAAATCGAGATTATAATACCGAGGCAATGTGTGTAAAGTTGTAAATAGAAACTCCATTGAATAATTATGAATTAGAGTGGAATATTGCAGTTGAAATTCAAAGTAGCTATACAGTCCACTGAGAGCTTGTTTTCCTTCGAAATTGCATCTTACGGCCACCATTTTGTTTTACGTTTTAACAAATTTCGAGCTGAGATCCGACGACTCTTTGTTGAATATCAGACGACTATTTACTGGACGCTGACTAAACACATAAAACAGTCACCGAGTTGTGCTATAAATACACCTACGACGCGTCGCACTTACAACGTGTTTCGTGAAATGGATCGCAGGACGCGTCGCAGCTACGACGCATCGTAGAGATACGACGCGTCGCATCGCTGCGATGCATCGTAAGTTACGAAGAGTTTGATGAAATCGGGTGCTGTTCTGACAGACATGAAAGGCAAATGTATTTATAATTATCGTAAAGCTCATTAATATTAAAATAGTATTAATTTGTCTGTTCACCATCAATGTAGCATTTTTGGGTTATTGCAGTTTATGGGTGTTTAATGATATTCCGAACAAGCTGTTGTAGGGTAGCATGTGTGCTACTCATGAGCATATCGGTAACAGCTTCGATATAAAAAAAAAGTGGAAACTATTATTGCGTATGCAATAACGGAACACCACTGCCAGGCACCGTCGTTTGGTGCGAAGCGTACTGATTTTGTAAAAGTTCAGATTGTATCTATTGGCGGTAAGCGGGCCGCGGGATGACCAGGAACCATTTTTACCATTAATATATACAATGATCATTTTCCCACATTTCTTGCCATGATCCCCTTCAAAACGTTTTATACTATTTTTTAAAATGTTTTGAAGGGGGATTTAAAGGCTGGGCCGAATTACATGATGAGCGAATGTGCAATCAAAAGTACGTGTTTCTCATTCAAAATAACAGATTGCATCACATAACATTAAACTAAAAGTGAAATAGAATGACAATGTTTGAAATCGCCCTCTAAAAAGCGAAAAGGAAGTCTCATGAACGAATCTGAATGAGCATAAACGAAAGGTGCTGCTCAATCATTTAATTGATTGATTGAACTGAAATGGAATGGAATGCTCTGGTAGCGAAAATGAAACTCGTGTTCAGAGCGATTCTCAAATTCAGTCGAAAATGAATGACCAATTTTCAGAAGTGAATGAACATTTCAGGAAATTGGCCGGGAAAACCTATATTTTTAACATTTTTCCCCACCGCTGCTGGGATGCATGTTAGGCAAAGAAAGAAAGGACATCGAGAGTCAAAGAAATCTGATACAATGTTCCAAAACTGTACTTAACAGTGAAATACGAAATGTGGAATACTAGGGACCTTGACCAGTCCTGTAGTTGTCTTCATAATATTAGTAAATTGACGGCACTTGGCGCCCGTCCAACGAATTGACTGAAATGACTAAATATGAAAAGACATGAACAAACAACATAAAGATAAGAGCACGGAAAGCTCAATGCTCCCTCTTTAGTTTTGATGCAGTGATCATTCCACTTGCGGCAATAACATACCATTGCAATCGTGTCTTTTTTCTTTCCCCCCGAGTTCTAGACAGTAGGGACCATTAACAGTGCCGTAGCATCCTGGGTGGTAAGGAGCCCTCCCCCCATATGTTGTCACAAGTGCCCTTCTTTCAAGAGTGCCCTTTTCTTTAACGTCCGCGAGCGATTTTTTTTACGTAGCCGGGATGCTCTAAAGTCATGCATAATTCAGTTTTCCTTTGAATCGTTACAAGACACTTAGGTTCTTGTTCTCTTTTTCCCTTGAAATAAATTTATCTCAACGAAAAATTCAGAGGAGAAAAACAATCGATTTAAATGAGCAGCAACGACGTGGATTCAAACCAGGGATCGTTGTATCCATAGCTCATCACGCTATCCACTAGGGTACTGTGTGGTTGCTCGACGACGTCTGTACTTAAAAAATGCTTTAACCCTATCAGGACCGGGGGAGGCACAATGTGGCCCCCTCCCATATTTTTGCTCATAACTTTTTAACGGTGCAGCCGATCGCCACCAAATTTGGTGACTTTTCCTAAATATTATCTGGGGTCATAATAGATAAAAAAAAAAATCAAGGGGTGGTTCGTTGTTGCCATAGCAACCGTTGGTTTTACATTGGTTCCCAGTTTTTCACGTAATTTTAATAAACTAATGTTTAAATATTAATTTCTACACTGTAAAACTAATTGTCATATTGTTATTAATTTATTTATCAGATAAGTGATTGAGAAGTGTCCCGTGACAAACATGTTTCCCAAATTTTATGACATTTGACCAAAGAAAACGGAAAATACGGGGAAAAAACTATTTTTGACCAAAAATGGGCAAAAATGTCCCAAAAAACGCCCTCTATGGACGTTTTTTCAAAAAAAAAATGGCAACCGGTAGGATTTGGTCAAAGGTTAATTTCTACCAAGTTTTAAAAAAATCGGTCATTTACTTTTGAAAATATAGAAAAAAATATACCTACGGGGACCCCCCGGTCCCCGTAGGTCCAAAAAAAGTCCGGTCCTGATAGGGTTAAAGTGAACTGGTTGACTAAATAATAACAACAATGCTATTGATATCATTGTTCTGTTTCATGAATAACCATACTGACCCGATCGAAACTACTGAATTATTTATGACTTTGGAGCATCCCCTACGGAAAAGAAATTCGCGTCCCGCGAACGTCGGCCCCCATGAGGAGCGCCACCTATCGTGCGATAATGCCCATGATTGTCCGCTTTGAACAGTGCCCCATTGGAAGATGGTTTCCAGCCCCCCCCCCCCCCCGGATGATCTAGTGACGCTCAATGTGCCTTTTTCACGTCTACCCCCCCCCCCCCATAGTGAATTTGATACGCGCATGGTACGAAATGGTACGCGTACAGGATACGTAGGTACGGTGGCTCGTTAGATCACTGTGTTTCGTGGTTATTCATCTGGCACACTATGGGCAATGTGCATTTCACAACAAAAAATGTTAAGATGTATATACGTATAAGGTTTGGTGAAATAACCAAAAAACATGGCAATTTAACAAACTAAATTTTTTTCGGAGTACTTGTTGTGCACATACGGCACATTATTAAGTAGTGCTAAAATAAATTGGTGGTCTGAATGCTGCAGGTTCCGAGTCCGGGTTCGAATAATAAGTCTACTGTACGTTTTCATTTTTTTCCCAAAAGTGATATTTCATCCCTAAATTATTGTGTTCAATCAAGTCCTGATCATCGATGAAATAAATTTCTCCACTTCCTTCTCATTCGTGGCCCTGATGACTTTTTTTAACCCTCCGAGCAGCGAAGTGGTGATTTCATTCTCCACATTTTCCAAATATGGGCATAATTTTTTTTCAATGGGCCAATAAGGCCAAGCTTCCATGTAATCCTCACCCCTACTATACCCCACAAGCCTGTAGACTCCCATTGGCCAGTCCCTACCCACTCCGGAGTAAGGAGTGTTGAAAGACAGAAGCCAAGATGGCGCCCAATGCCTTTGTGCAGTAATGGGAGATCTTAGTGGCCAATCCCTCAGTGCCGCCGATCCCTTTGTGTCAACCCCTCGTGCCGCCAGGAGCCCAGACAGGTTGTAAACAATCCCTGGCCATGTGAATGACCTATATCTTGTGCATGTACAGGCATGCCATGGTTATTGACCTATAAACACAGGTGGTGATCAAATTCTCCACGTGTTTCCACGGTGTGATTTTTTTTGGTAAGCTGCTCGGAGGGTTAAAAGGGAAGTGAAGTCCAAGAACATTCCGTTGCCAACTGACGCATGCGCATTCTCGGCATTGATTATACTTGTTGCCAAAAAAACAAAACAGTAATTGCCAACGGGGAGCCAGGACTTACGCCTTTCGTTTGACTACAGCCATTCACGCGGTGCTAGTAGTGCGCAGGCACACGTTACGTCACGCACGAATCAGCCACTATTCGCTTACGGTCGACTAATGGCCCTCGTCACAACTTGCTCATTATGTGTGTAGCAGACCAACGCCCTGTGTAACACTCTTTCGACCCCATGCAGCCTCGTGATGGCAGTTCATTTTGAAAACCGAATTATGTCGTAACTCTTCCTCACCAGACTCACTTTCTCAACGTAGGTTTACATCAACGTATTTAATGATGTGCATTGCAATGGTGCATGTACGTTTAATACCCACGCTTCAAATTTACCATCTGCCCCGGATAGGTGGATCACCAAAAACCTGAAAACTTCACCTCCATACTACTTCTTCTGCTCATTAGAAACCTACACAATACGGTTCAAGAATGTAGAGGAATTTATGCCATTCCTATGATTGTTCCATACACCAGCCTAGGCTAAACATTGACCTTCGATGATTGTTTTTACCCTTTACAGGATGCGCGCAAATTGTTGGAATAGCAGCTGTCTCCTTACATCGGTATTTCTTGGTCGTGAAGCCATTTGTTGCCAAGAGACTGACGACAGGAGGCGCCCTAGTCTGCGTGGGATTTACTTGGGTCTACTCCCTGGCTGTCGCTCTACCTCCCGTTCTCGGATGGAGTGAGTTCACACGTGAAGGCGCCGGAATATGTAAGATTTCAACACTTCCTTACATCAGCAAGATTTGCATTTTCTCGTGCCGGTCGCTTAATTAAGGGTAAAATATTATTTTTAGTGGTAGGGTGTCTCACTGTATGGTGCGCAGTTATTATCGATACCAACTTAATGTTTGTCGTGGGTTCGGGTCCCACCCAAGTTATCTATTTTATCACAAACGCTCGGTATACATTGCAACACTGAGTCTACAGTGTTTTTTTTATAAATGCGTCGGTGAAGGGCAAACACACTTTTGAATTTGCATCACCCCGACGCAGATTCCATCTTATTATTGTTTTGATGTCCGTAGTTGCCAATATAATAACCAAGTACAAATATTAGAAGTCATAAATTTGGTTATGTATAAAACATGGCAATATGTATTTTTAAGAGTTAAAACAAGTATTCACTTGGTCACGTGGTACAATGACGTGAGCAGGAATTTAATATGGCGGATATTGACACGTAAGCCCTCTTTTAATTTTAACTGTTTCTTTGGGGTTCTTGGGATTTTTTTTTATTAACCAAGCAGTAAGAATTTAACCATAAAAAGCTTTCTTATTTGAGCCAATTTCAGTTGAAAATCAAAATTGAGGACACAATATATTTGGGGAAAAAATCATAAAATTGATGGTTTTTGCTTTCCAAGTAGGTAAAGCGCCCATGACGTTGATCATAGTTACGAAATGTTTAATTTGATGCAAAATAAGTCAAAGAATATCTGTACCAAGTTTTAAAGTATTTGGAACGTTTAGAAATAATGCCAAATATATTTGTTTTGACGAAAAATAGGGCAACCAAAATGTCACATTGTAGAATACTAATAGCCGACAACATTTAACGAACAAAATTTAAGGAAAGAGTTGCCAAAACATATTGAAATTCTAATCGAGGAACATGCGCCCAGGGTCTTGAGAAAACCGTAAATAACTGGGTCCATATAGCGAGTGTTCCGTTTTAAAGAAATTAACATTTCGTATTCGTATAACTTTACTTTTTCCTTTACCTTGTTGTCATGATTAGGATTGTGTGGGATGTATTTGACGTAGGCTAAGGACATCCACATCATAATCTCATTGAGGCCTGTGATTGAAATCAAATTATTATGAGAACGAGAGTATACAGGGTGAGTGAAAAAAACGAATCCCAAATGTTGGGACCATTGTTTTAGTGAAGTTCTGCATGTAGCATTTTCAAATTCTAGGACATGAAAGCCCAGTTCATAAGCTTTTTTTAGTACAATAATCATTCAAATCTCTCTTGTGCTTTTCAAGTTACGGAATTTTAAACACAACCATCGTTTTAAAGTTCTGTCCACGGATCACAAAAAAAGTTCCGTTTTCTTTCAGTAAAACGAAAACAAATCACACAGGGATGTGTGTGATTTGTTTTCGTTTTGCTGAAAGAACGCAGTCCTTAGGTTTCGGGTTTTTTTTTACTCACCCTGTATATATATAAGCGTATATTCTTATGTTTCCCCCCCCCTCCGTCTCTCCTGCCTACGATACTAGAATCCTTTTAAAATACAATCCACAGTCTGTATTATTCATGACAAATTCCATTCTTCTTGAAGGACATTTCCTGGGAGGATTCTCCATTAAGATTTAGTGAACGTATGACATATCTTCCCGTGAGACCCTATTACATTATCATTCGAAAAACAGACGCATTTTCCTACGTTGGCCGAAATGAGAAAAAAATGTAGCTCTGTGGCCTGATTTTAAGGAAAGATAGGTTTCCAGTCCGAAACATTATACTTCTGTTGACGTGTAGCCTATACACATGTAGATCGAAATTCTCCCTCAATTTCGTACGCGGTTATATCATACGATACTTTTACTTGTGGAATTAACCTCTACATTTACTCTTAGTTCGTATAATATATTTTACGCCACAGTGATATCTAAATATATTTGAAAATGTGCATCAATTAATTCTGGTGAATATTGTACCATATATTTTATCATGCTTATGAAACTGCTCCCATTTTGCCATCCCATAGCTTGTTCCGTGAGCTGGCACTCTGGGAGTCGGTCTTACACGTTTTTCATCTTCACCATGATCCTGGCGATTCCCATGGCTATCATCCTCTTCTCCTACAGCCAAATACTTTTCACAGTAAAAAAGGTAGGGAGTTATTATAGTCGCACAAGCATTGGCGGATCCAGAACACAATTTTGGGGGGCCCAAAAATTTTTGGGTCCCCCCCCCGCAGATCCGCCCTTGCCGACAAGAATACCATATAGTTTGCCAAACGATCGATCAATCGTTCCCTTTGCGATGAAGGTTTATATTAACTAAACGGCCAATTGTTATTTTTACGTGCACTGAATTTTGTTTTCCCTGCAGTAGGAATACTAATCTTGCTTATTCCAGCATTCTAAGCAAAAATATGTCAGGTAATAAAAAATAACTTAAGTTTGAAGGGTTTTTTTTCATAATAAAACGTAAAGTTTAAACCGTTATCTAGAACGGAGCTCCAAGAAACCAGAATACTGCGTGGGGCAAACATGCTATACTTGAGAACGTTCAGATCAAGTTGTTTGTTGTATTCTTGATTCTAAGAAGTCTGTGGATATAACTGACGGTCAACCGTATGTTCTATTCAAAAGTGCATAAAATTTGACATTTTGTGGCAAAGCTCTTTTCAAAGGCATTCTGAGGCTCCGAGTCGCATAATTGCCGGAATATTCTTAAGATAAACATCATTACCCCCTTCAAAACACGATAGTCAGTTTCGAGGTACCATTTCTTCATTCGTTAAAATATGTCACAATGACAGTCTTGCCCCTTCGTTCTCTTCCTTTTCCATTTGAAGATGGCCAAGTGCCAGGTTAGTAACCAGCGGTCAAGGGAGGCAGAGAAGAAAGTCACTATCATGATTATAGTCATGGTGCTCACCTTTTTGGTGGCTTGGACCCCTTACGCCGCCCTGTCTTTGTACATGGCCCTCGGCGGCGATAGCGTCTCCATTACACCCCTGACCGCTACCTTGCCATCAATGTTCGCCAAAGCATCGACCACCTACAATCCTGTTATTTATTTTCTTCTTCATAAAAAGGTAATGTCTCATAACAAGAGAAACAACAACAACAACGGTAATATAACAACGAGTATGACGAACGAACGACGGAAAAAACAAACAAACAAACAAACAATCCTACCAATTAACTTATAGCCTATTTGTAACGGTGATAAACATGGGCGTCGCCAGGATTTTTCGAGAGGGGGCAAAACATATTTTTCCCCAAAAAATGCTTGAATTTCTCAAAATGTTCTCGATTTATCAGTTTTAGAGGGGGAAGGGACATTTTGCCCCCCCCCCCCCATTAAATTTACACCACTGTGACTTCGCGCCTCTTTTTCTTTTCTTTTTTCTCTGTTTCCCCCCCCCCCTTTTTTTTTTTTTTTTTTTTTTTTTTTTTTGGCTTTTCCAGGGGGGGCCCCTCCCCCCCCCCCGCGACGCCCATGGTGACTAATAAATATGTCAATAACATTTGGAAATTGAATTGTTTGGGTTGATTGTCACACACCCCCTCAAAACAAACTCACGATGTACTTAACTTCACGTTAAGTACGGTTGAGTCTCGATAGTCCGAAGTACCATTGGTCCGAAGTCCCATTGGTCCGAAATAAAGGCAGACACTGCGCACATAGCCATTTTTGTCAAAAAATGGTAAAAGTGGTCAGAACTGCTTCAGATCGCGCGCACGACAGAGCATCTAAAATTCAAAAAATAATTCGGCGCCTTTACGCGGGCCTCGAACACCACGCCGTAATTTTTGGACCCACTTTTTTTTTGGGGGGGGGACCAAAAATGTCCCCCCCCCAAAGAAAAAGTGTGTTCTGGATCCCCCTTGTCAATGGGTGCAAACGAGTGACGCTGAACGTGGCCCGATTCTGACACTAGGGGAGGCTGTTCAAGGCGGACGATTTTGGACACCGTCTAACACAAGGTAGCACTGTTCAGTGAGACCTCGTTTGCCGACTTTTGTAGGAGATTGCCGACAAGAACAAATGGCGATTACTCCATCAGAGTCTGTCGAGGAGGGACAGGGCGATGGTCGTTTTGTACTAGTGCCACACTGCTCCATAATCACGCACTTTTTCCCTCTATGTTTCACAGTTCAGAAAAGCTCTCCTTCAGACATTCTCACGAAGGAATCGTGACAGGAGCCTTCATATCAGCCCGACAGAGAGTATACTTGCAAGAAAGGTACCAATCGGATGTCAAGGCCGCAACATGTCCACCAACAAGCCTAGAATGGACCAAAGAATTCAGCTGGCAGGAGCATGCATAATCCCTCCAATGCAATTTGGGAATTGATGATATTAAAGTCTGACCGCAGCCCCGATTCAGACTCAGTGACGTAACTGGGGTTCAGTTGACTGGTGTTGGGGCACTCAGGGCCTCACTTTCTGGAGGGGGCATTTATGGTTTTGTTTTACAATAGAAAGCTCACGTTGGGCCTTCCCCGTATTCAGGGGGTGGGGCATAGACCCTGAACATAGGGAGTGATGCCCTCCGTAGCTTCCCCATTACTCACGCCACTGATCCGATCAGTTATTAAGTTCTAATGGCAAGAAAATGCAATATTTTTGTCGCCTCATGATAGGCATATACAGTTTTCATTCGTCGTTATTGCAATAATCATTCTGACAAGTTGTCCGTAACAACGTTCTACGGCAGAAACGGGTTTTTTTTTGCACCACAGTTGTGTATAGCTCACCATTGGATAATGGACTTAATTATATCGCAAAGACATCATAAAATGTCGTTAAAATCAGGTTTATTCCTTGAGATAGAGTTGTTTAATTGTTGTTTGTACTGAAGTATTGTTAGTATAAGTATTGCAACTATATATTTGACACGTTTAAAAATGTTGATATAAAAAAGACAACTTGCATTAAAAACAGGCACTCGCAAGAAACTTTTCTTTTTAATCCGTAAATTGACCTCACTGTATTTCAGTTCTCAGTCGATATACTGCAGGACAATGAGTCATGTAGGGTAATACAATGTATACGTTTCGAGCGTTGCTTTCGATGACCTACAGTAAAGGGTTTACAGCTGCATAAACAGAGATCGTCTGCCGGACAGACAAGTGTGTCCATCATAACAAAAATACATTTTCAGTAAATATAGTGTGGACTTGCGAATGGAGTTTTCAAAAAGGTTCACTATTTTTTATACGGCTCATGGGAAGGGAATATTGAGCAAATATGTTTATAAACGAAAAATTCATTTCATGTCAACGCTTTTATGAGGCAAATAGTCGGAAGCACAAAACAATGATTGAGACTGCAATCAATTCGGGCGATTCACAGTGCAGTGCGCCACCAAGAGTTTGCCATGGATAGTCCATTTTTGAAGTTTACGGTCAACACAACATGGCCCATTTAATTGAGTGTCAGTAGACAACTTGAGCTAGTTGAGGCGCGGTTCTAGAGCCAATATTTTTGGGGGGCTAGCAGGGTGGATCCAGGTTGTTTTTTCAGGGAGGCGTGCTGAAATCTAGACCGGTTATTTTCTCCGGACACTTAGGCCTCCGAAAATCAAAAGGGGAGGGGGGCGGGGAGGGGGGGGGTCGTGCCATACGACTTTGAACTGTATAGGTTTGTCTATGTAAGGTATGTGCTGACATTTAAATATTTGTTCTTTTATACACACCAACTGACCATTTTGTTTAACCTGCAATCTTTTGATCCATGTTATTGTAAAACATAGTGTCTTCCTATAGTCTAGTAAAAGTCATAATGAACAGTTTAGACAGCAAACCAAAAAAAACCCCAACTGCTTTACGTCACAAATTGTCATTGTTTAATTAGTTTGTCAGTGTTTAATTTATCATTGTTACAGTGTAACGGGATAAGTTGTTACAGTGTAACCACTTTTCCCACGCGGTATGTACATGTGGCAGGGCCACGTTTTAGCACCAAAAAAATCCCCAACTGCTTTACGTCACAAATTGTCATTGTTTAATTAGTTTGTCAGTGTTTAATTTATCATTGTTACAGTGTAACGGGATAAGTTGTTACAGTGTAACCACTTTTCCCACGCGGTATGTACATGTGGCAGGGCCACGTTTTAGCACCAAAAAAATCCCCAACTGCTTTACGTCACAAATTGTCATTGTTTAATTAGTTTGTCAGTGTTTAATTTATCATTGTTACAGTGTAACGGGATAAGTTGTAACAGTGTAACCACTTTTCCCACGCGGTATGTACATGTGGCAGGGCCACGTTTTAGCACCAAAAAATCCCCAACTGCTTTACGTCACAAATTGTCATTGTTTAATTAGTTTGTCAGTGTTTAATTTATCATTGTTACAGTGTAACGGGATAAGTTGTTACAGTGTAACCACTTTTCCCACGCGGTATGTACATGTGGCAGGGCCACGTTTTAGCACCAAAAAAAACCCCAACTGCTTTACGTCACAAATTGTCATTGTTTAATTAGTTTGTCAGTGTTTAATTTATCATTGTTACAGTGTAACGGGATAAGTTGTTACAGTGTAACCACTTTTCCCACGCGGTATGTACATGTGGCAGGGCCACGTTTTAGCACCAAAAAAATCCCCAACTGCTTTACGTCACAAATTGTCATTGTTTAATTAGTTTGTCAGTGTTTAATGTATCATTGTTACAGTGTAACGGGATAAGTTGTTACAGTGTAACCACTTTTCCCACGCGGTATGTACATGTGGCAGGGCCACGTTTTAGCACCAAAAAAAACCCCAACTGCTTTACGTCACAAATTGTCATTGTTTAATTAGTTTGTCAGTGTTTAATTTATCATTGTTACAGTGTAACGGGATAAGTTGTTACAGTGTAACCACTTTTCCCACGCGGTATGTACATGTGGCAGGGCCACGTTTTAGCACCAAAAAGAAACCCCAACTGCTTTACGTCACAAATTGTCATTGTTTAATTAGTTTGTCAGTGTTTAATGTATCATTGTTACAGTGTAACGGGATAAGTTGTTACAGTGTAACCACTTTTCCCACGCGGTATGTACATGTGGCAGGGCCACGTTTTAGCACCAAAAAAATCCCCAACTGCTTTACGTCACAAATTGTCATTGTTTAATTAGTTTGTCAGTGTTTAATGTATCATTGTTACAGTGTAACGGGATAAGTTGTTACAGTGTAACCACTTTTCCCACGCGGTATGTACATGTGGCAGGGCCACGTTTTAGCACCAAAAAAAACCCAACTGCTTTACGTCACAAATTGTCATTGTTTAATTAGTTTGTCAGTGTTTAATTTATCATTGTTACAGTGTAACGGGATAAGTTGTTACAGTGTAACCACTTTTCCCACGCGGTATGTACATGTGGCAGGGCCACGTTTTAGCACCAAAAAAAAACCCAACTGCTTTACGTCACAAATTGTCATTGTTTAATTAGTTTGTCGGTGTTTAATTTATCATTGTTACAGTGTAACGGGATAAGTTGTTACAGTGTAACCACTTTTCCCACGCGGTATGTGCATGTGGCAGGGCCACGTTTTAGTTGCAAACTGTTACGTGTTTATAGTGAATTATATAGGAGTAGCTCTCCTTAGTAAAAGAAAATCATTTTTTGTTTTATTTTAGATACCCCTCCCCCTTTGTTGGTTTGTTTGTTTTAGCCCACGATCCCCATATAAATTCTGTCACGTGGTCAATCCACTTTAGTTCAACCAGCAGACCAACAGAGACAACTTCGTATTATACCGGTATTTTATGTTCGTCCTAACTGGAGTGGTGTGTCCTGTTGGAGCTGAGGCAGAATTACATGGCATGGCCTCGGGATGTTTTAGACAGATGTCCACACTGTATTTAAATAAACAAGTTAAACATGCACCTTTAGATGTTAGAGCTATTACAAAAGGGTTTGGGTCTCAAATTTACTAATATTGGTAAAAAATACTTTTTTAGTGATACACCTGATGTACCTCCGCTGCAGTATCAACGGCAGGGTGTATGTAAGTTATAGTATGATGCAGAGCCGAATATAGAGAGAGTTGCTACATAAGGGTCGCACTGTTTGGAAACAAAATGGCGGATTATGCGATAGTGCACATATATAATTCGTACACAATAGTCTCACGCTTCACTGTTCACATAATGAACGGCCATTATGGTTCAACAGTCTGAAGGTTGTGGCAACTCTCTTTATAAAAGGCTCTGGCGCCCTCACTTGTTCCCTTTTATCAACTAGAAGCATAGTAACAACTAACCCGTGTAAAAGTGTTATCTGGTCTTCCCTAATACAGGGAAGATCCAATTTGTGAATAGTTTTTAATTTTGAAAACTTCTAGTATCAAGTTGTTTTGTGGGTGCACAGTTCAACATACACTGTTAGTTTTCTTTGTACATTAGGAGTCACTGACTTTGATTGTGTACCAAGTAAAACAATAAATAAATAAAAGAAGTTATGCTGAGCACAACCGCAACTTTATTTTAACTTGTTCTAAACCAGTTACTCGAGAGTGGTTTGCATAAGAAAGGTGCCCAGTGAAATATGTTCTGCTGCGTATGCGTGCGTGGGTAAATATTCTTGGCCGGTGGCCAAGGCATTGGTTAGGTGTTTGTTCTTTATGCAATCATATAATCGATATGGGGTAAGAGCGCCACCAAGCGTTAAATGGTCTACCACGGGAGTTCGCCCTGCAAACAGGGCGCTGGAAAGGGCTGATGCCGCTTCACAGAGTGTTGTGTAGGATGTACGGATGGTATTCAGTGTAACCTATCAGGACCTTCGCATGAAGCCAGCGCGCGACGTGTGATAAACCATAGATCAAGGAACAAACATGCAGCTGTAGCGAGTTTGAGTGTTGCATGCCACGTCACGTGTCACGCAAAATCTATCCCATGAGAACTCAAAATAGCGGCACCGGCGCCCTGGGCGGGGAAGGGGGGTACGACCGAACCAAAGGAGGTGCTTATTTTACTTCATGTAAATACTTCACGTAAAAGATAAATCACGTAAAAGGTAAAAGTAAAATCGAAGACGAAGTGAAGCTAAGAAACATGTCCAGTGGCATAAGGAGTCCCATTTACACAGGGGAACTTGGGGGATTATGGTTAAACAATGGGTTTATCATAGTTTCAAAAAAATAGACATTTCTGGTCTCCAAATTGTAACAGGGTACACTAGGGGGCATAAGTCTCCAGCATTTGGGTTCGTGCCCCCCCCCCCCCCCCATTTTTTTGGGGGCCCAAAAATGTTGGTCCCCAAAAAGTGTGTCCCAAAAAAATTACGGCGGGGGGATCGGGGCCCGCTTAAGGGCCCCGAAACATTTTTGGATTCTAGATGCTCTGTGGTGCTATCTAAGGCAATTTCTGACCACTTTAACCAATGTTTTTGGAGGCAAAGATGGTGGTGTACGCATTGCCTGCCTTTATTGCGAAGTCACTAAAAAGAAAAAAGAAAAAGATTCGTTTTGGGGAGGCCATGGCCCCCTTTAGCCCTTCCCCCTGGATCCGCCCTTGCCCCCCCCCCCCCCCCCCGTTATAAAACATTGATAACTTTTGGAATTTCCATTTTCACAGTTTATCAGATCTTCGGATAAACCACGTAAAGAATTAAAGAAGAACATCTCACTTCGTGGATTTGAAAACGCAAACAGATCAACAGCAGCCGATGTTTAATGAATAATAATATGTTTTCTCACAACAGAGAAACCAACACTGCTTTGTTCAAATGCAATTATCTTCCAAAATTTCATACATTTGTAATGACCCCAGTCGCTCTCTGAAACAGGTGCACACACGGCAGGCTGATAGTACTGAGGATTATACGCAGATTAGCCTCAATGCATCTTACAACATGCATAATATATACTTGCGTCAGGTGCGAGAGCACGCGTTTGAAGTGTCCATCCATTTTGCATGCCAACAACTTTCCATTAGACCTACTGCAGTACGTTGAAAGATTATCTTGTCTTGAAGGTCGAATTCCCGTTCCAACGAAGATGCGTGTTTCTGATTACAAGGCAGTACTCAAGACTGACATGCCGGCAAGTTAAGAGAAAAAAAACCCTGCAGTATACAGACACGCAGGTGCCTGCCGTTGAACATTTCAACTTAATAGATTGCACAGTAAACTTTCACACGCCCCAAAGGAGGAAATTTATGCTAATCAAAAGAATTTCATACTGACTTTGGGTCACAATTTGACTCAATAATCGTACTTGGGACTGAGCAGCAGTGCTCCAGTATTGTTACGATATAGGCCTACACTGAACAAAAAGAGAATCTCCTACTGTATTGGCGACATGTTCTTTTACCATGGCTGGTTTTTTTTTTTACTTTCCTTATTTTCTTTCTTTCTCTCAGCATTTTTCTACTGTTGGTCTATGTTTTCTCAGCTCAGTACATTGTTCTATTGTATCGGGAGCATATGCAAACCGGAATATACCCCACGCAAAAATCTACCCTGTCTGCATAATAGCAGATTTACTGAACTCACTGCAAATG